CTCATTGGAGTCATTTCTCTCAATTGTTCCTTGTTTTATAGCTAGCTCGATCATCTCACCAGTCATAACTAGATCTGAGAAAGTTCTCGATGTAATTGCCACCAGGTGCCCAAAGTAAGGCGTCTTCAAGGTCTATACAAACAGTTTCCTGGTTTTTTTTCATCCAAAGGTGGATGAACTTGCACAGCCAAATCCCTCTATCATTGTGCGTATTGTCGGAAACTTTCATTGTGTTCTTTCTCCAGTCTTTTTAGCATAACATGGTCTGGTCTCATATCGTTAATATACTTGTATTGCTCCAAAAAAGACTTGGATAAGTCTTTCCATGTCTTAATATGAGTTCGGCTGAGCTGGTTGAACCACCGGATAGTTGAATCAGATAGGCTCTCCTAGAAGTAGTGGATCAGGAGTTGGTCATTTCCCCCATATCCCGTCATCTTCCGACAGAATATAGTGATGTGGGCTGAGAGGCAGATGTTCCCATCGAACTTCTCGAACTCTGGGACCTTAAATTTTGGTGGAAGCACCAAATCTATAACCAGGCTCAACTCCATTGCGTCCACTCCATAATAATCATGGTCCCCTTGGACCATCTTCATATGATCTTCTAACATCTTGATATTCTCTTCCATATTCTTTGCCTTATCCTCCTCGTCAAAATCTGGGATATGATAGTCTTCCGGATGATTGTCAGTGTTGGTTGCAGAAGCTGGTATATTTGCACCAGATATGGCTTTCCCCTTGATAACAGATGAGTCCACTTGTAATCCGTGTAAAATCCCATGTGAGACAACCACTTGTGGGGTTGGTGGTATAATGACTCTTTCAGATGAACCTACCCCTGGTATATTGGCTTGTTGGAGACCCGATAACTTGGCCATAATTTGATCGACCAAGGACTCCTGGTTCTTCTTGATGGACTCTAGGGTACTTTGACTTTTCTGAGCCATCTTATCCTCCAGCTCTTTCTATAATTTTGCCATATTTTCTTCATTTGAATGATTCTGGCCTCCATTCGCCTCTTTTTCAAGCGGATGTTATGCAGATGGGGTGTGTCCAACGCTTGAGGTGGTGTATCCAATATTTATTCCTTTTATTGAAGCATTCTTCCGTTAGTTAATGCGAATGCAAAGAAAATAACAAAATGCAAAATATGTCTAAATGCATGATGCATGAAATGTCCGAGGCATTGATCCAAAAAAATGTGTCTGTTGTTATGAATAATCATTATTGAGGACAAAAGTGTTTTATCTTTTAAGAGAAAAAAAAATATCATGACACCTTCTGACATGTTGACTAGTCTTCTGCCTTCGTCTGTCACTGGTTGAATAACTTGTCGAACCACTCCGGCTTCTCTGGATGAACCGTACAAATGTTGAGTTACTTTTTGTACTGGCCCAAGAAGTCTCGAATGATTGTATCTCAGGCATTTATCTTTTGTTGAGCTTGTTCCGAATGAATAAACCATTGGAGCCCTTAATTGATAAGAACTTTGTGAAGTTCATTTGTTTGTTTCTTGAATTCGTCAGTAATGGTCTCCAATTTCAGCTATTGTTTTGCCATTTTTGTCTTTGATGGGACTCCCAAAATTAGTAACCTTCATTTTGCCCCTGTAACCTCTGCCAGTCAGTTCTTCCAATATAGACTTTTATTGTGCTTAATGTAGACTCGAATCATTTTGAGTCCTTTATAATGCAGTAGAGTGATATACTCTTCAATTATGGGCACCACGTCTTCTGGGTTAAATGTGACACATAATCGCCTTGTAGACTGTCCTCTGCATTTTTATCTCTTGTATTACAACCCCTTTATCTGTTAGTTCAGATTACTTTGTGTGTAACAAATACTTTTTTAGGTATCAATGACCTCTTGTTATAATGCAATGATGAAAATAAACATGAAAGTAAAAGGTTAGTAAAATAAGAAAAAAAAAAGGCAAATAGCATGGTTAGGGTAAAAAATATTCTAGGTTTTGGAATAGGGTTTCGGGGTAGGCTCTACTTCTCCATAGTCTCCCGATTTAGGTTCTAAAAAACGGTACCCGAGTTCTCCTTGCCGATGCCCCTTGGGCTTGCCAGACCCTTAGTCCTAAACCCATCACAGGTTTGTGTGGACTAAGTTAAACTCGAGAGGACACATTCCTTTATGCCTATACGGAGAATAAATTCACACGAATGCATAAGGTATATGAATCCCGGAGGCTACTTGATAGGTCCATACGGTGAATAAATTCACACGAAGGCGTCGTTTTCGTGTTTAAAGCCTTAGATGAAAAATCTTTAGGGGCTGAAATCATTAGAAAATGGTTAGTACAACTATTTACTCGAAAATATAATCAAAAGTAAGCAATAAGGATTGAAATGTTACCTTAAAATTTAAACTTACCCTTTTCGTTAAAAAGCTAACTGGAAATTACCTTAGCCTGACTCACTTACCTGTGTCCCCAGCATAGTCGCCAAGCTGACGGAGTCGTCTTTCAGTTGGGCCCGGAATTGGGCTTCGACTTGAATAATTGGGTTAGAGTTGCCACCGACCATTTTAAAACGAATTTAGGTGGATCAGACACCATCTTACCTGATCTGCGTTGTACCAAAGATGTGTCGGATTTGGGGGTCGGTTACAGTCAAGAAAGGGTTAGCACCCTTGAACTGCCCTTTCGGTACTACGTAATTTACAGTTGTCTTAGATTAAGAAAATTGTAACTTTAAATTAAAAGGTAAAAATAATGACTCAAAGCTTACCTCCGATAGATTGAAACACCCCTTTTAAAACATAAGGACGTTAAAAAATGAAAATGAATAAAGTAAAAAAAGAATAAAATACAGGAAATAAGAATGAAAAAAATAAAATGGAAAAATGAAAAAGATAAATGAGCAAAATAACAAAAAGTAAATAAACAAACAAATGAAATAAGGAAACTAAAGGGAACATACACATAAAAAATGTAATATAAAAATAAATAATAAAAAGAAACCAAGATAAAAAGTGAGTAAATAAATGAAATAAATATGCGTAAAAAATAAAATATTAAACAGGAAAAAAAGTGAACAAATGAAAGTAGTAATAAATAAAGAAAAAAACAATTGAATATATATATATAAATCAAATATAGAGTAAAACCAATAAATAGAAATATATATATATATATATATATATATATATGTACATATATATGTATATATAATAATAATAATATATATATATATAATAAAAAGTAAAAATTAAAGATTTTAAAAAATATATAAAAAATACGATGGAATTTAACAGGGGCCAAATTGAAAAGAAAAATATTGAGTGGTCAAATTAAACAAAATTAGGGTTTATAATCGAATTTGGGGTCAAAATGGAAGGTTTTAAAATAAGAGGGAACGAAAGTGCAGTATACCTCTTTTTAATAAAAACACGCGGATCCTTTGCTAATGAGTCGGGTTGCACAGGTCTTCGTGGGCCGAGTATATAAGTTAATTTTTTTTAAAAACTTCATTTGTTCTCATTTAATCAGCCGACCCATCTCATGTTTCTCTCCTCTTCTCTGCCCAGTTCATGTGTTCTTGATGAACACATGAACGCTACCGTAGTTTCCAGATACCGACCGCCGCTTGCCGGCGACAAAATGTAAAAAGTTTCAATTTTTTAAAGCCCTTCCCCTCTTTGTTTTAAAAATCTGAATAATTTTTTCAAAAACACAAGTCGCGGTGGCTAGATCTACGGAAGTAGATCTTGAAAACGCCCCCTGTTCATCGGACGTTTTGAAGAAAAACGAGAAAGATAACAAGTGAAATACAACATTCACAAGGCCAAACACGCCGAATCAAGTTAATTTTTTTTTATTTCTTTCTTGCTTTCGAAATCTACAAGGTATTATTCTTCTACTTTTTCGTGTTTTGTTTCAGTATTTGCGTGTACAACCGTGTGATCCCCCAAATCGTGATGATTTACATGTATTTATAATCGAAAAACAAGCCTATTTTAGAGTTTTGCTCCGAGTAAAACTCGGTTTGGCTGTGTTTGTTGAGTCCATGATTCTGATTTGTTACTTGCTTGTGTTTCATGCGGTCACGACGCCGAGAAAACCTGTCATGGGAGGCATGTTGTGCGAGGAAACTTCGATCGGGATTTGGTTGACCGAACGGCACGGGACCAGAGATGGACATGCGGCGCTAGGGTTTTTGCAAACCCTAAATCTATTGTGGAATTACTTATTGCTGGTTTGCACGTGGATTTGGGCCACTAGCCTTGGGCTATTCTTGTTTGCGTGTAATGGGCCTGTAACACGGAACTAAATGAATAAATAATATTATATATTATATAATATATATATATATATATATATATATATATATATATATATATATATATATATATATATATATATTGTATAAAATAAATTTAATGGACGAATTCGGGTGTCTTAGAGAGGTGAACTTTTCAAGTTCCTTATTCAGAGCTTTAACTGGTAGTTACTGCAAGGGAGCTTTTTAAGCAGTTTGGATGCTCTGAGAGGCTCTATCAAGATATTTTCTTTCCCACCAGATTTGATTGTTGAAATTTGCTATATCCGATCTTTTATCTGTTCGTTTCTCGAATTGACTCGGTGGAGTTTTGTTTATGGATGGTTATAGAAGCATTTCGATGTAGTATTTTGCCGTGGCTCCACAACGGAGAAGATCTTTGAGCCGTGGGTGGAGTCTTTGAAGGCTAAAGGTTGTGAAATACTGGAGGGTAAAAGGGTAACATATTTCAAAGTCGATGAGGAAACGGGTTGCATAACGGAAGTAGTTTCTGGCAAAGAGACCTACACTGTTGATGCAGCTATATTGCTGTCGGGATCGCCAAGCATCAAGAAACGATCAAGAACAGGTTTTTTGTTCTGAAATTTTCTTACATGGGATGCATTTTCATGCAATATAGTTTTAGTATGTTGATATTTTGATAGAAAGTTTTAAGTTCAAAGTTTTGATTAGATGGTCATCCATGCTTTATGCTTTCTCCACATCTTTAGTATAGTTTTTAGTGGTTCAGTTGGTGGCTCTTTTCAGCTATCCTGTTTAACTGGCAGTTGAGTCCTGTTTAGTGCAGCATTACGTAAACAGGAAGAGTTTCGGAAAGTTCTGAACTTGGCTGGCATTGATTTTGTTACCGTTAAGTTACGGCTGGATAGGGAGGTCGGTGCACAGATCTTCCCTTGGTTTAGAACTGAATATCATGGCAGAAATCTTGTGCATTTCTGTAGTGGATTTCCTTGTTTTAGTCAAGAATATGCTTTTACAAGGTGCTAAAGTTGACATTATGTAATGAATACACCAGGTTTTCATCCTGATTCCGAGCAACGCTTGTGCTGGATTCGATGATCTATTTGGGTGTGCCTTCTTCGACTTGACCACAATTCATGATGAGCATAAAGGTGATACGGAAACCATATTACAAGCTGATTTTGTAAGTTTTTGCCTTCAAACATGGATCTTATCTTTGTCATTGGGAGGAAATAATTTTGAAACTTGTACTAAAATTATGGAAATGATCTTTATCTTGCCATGCAGTATCATGCCAATGAGTTGCTGCCTTTGGAAGATGAACTTGTAGTTGAAAAAGTCATGTCATATCTTTCTAAGTGCATAGATGGCCTTGAGAGAGCTAATGTGGTGGACAAAGAAATCAGAAGGTTTCCGAATGGATTGACTCATATTTTCCCAGGTGAGCAACCAACAGCCTAATCGAATCGAACCGTCATATTTGGTGACAATGAGGGTATGTTTTGCCAAAGAATTTATAACTTCAGGCTTAAAAATTAATCTTGCAAGACGTTTTAACAACCCAAGGAAGATTATGATGAGGATGTGGGGGGAAGAAAACCTATAAATAGGCACGATCGACATCTTCTTGTACCATTTTCAGACCCTTTTAAAGCATTCTGCAATATGTTTAGATACTTTTGGGCTAAACCAACACCTAATTCCGTCTTCTTGCTTCTCGAAGCGGTTCATATAAGTACATGATGCACGGATCTACATCGTTCCCTAATTTGTTTATGGCAGGAGACTGGATTATAACCCGACATGGTTCCCGGTCACAGGTTTGCTTTTCTGATATCAAATTGCATATCATTACAAAGGGACTTTGAAACAATTATATAACCGGTTTGAACATGGTTTTCTGTTGCTTATAATAGGAGAAATCTTATGTAACGGGGCTCGAAGCTGCAAATAGAGTGGTAGATTACCTTGAAGAAGGGAGTTTCTCCATAGTGATTCCTGTCGAGGAAGATGAGCCTCACATCGAAGCATTTTGCAACTTAAATAGAAGGCTTAATGAGATTATCAACCAAGTTCCATTGTCCGGTTATTTTCTTCAATAGATCTAATACAGACAATGTATGCAAATTCCTACATTCATGCAGCAGATTTCACTTGTGAATTGGGATATTATGTAAAGAAAAATAATTATTATCGACTTCAATATGAATCATGCTCAGGAGATAACTTCCTTTCTTTTCCATCTAATGTACAAAAGTTTACAAGGGCATCCGTGCTTAGCAAAGTCGGACAGGATCCATAAAAGAAACCATGGAATAATTGTTTCGACTGCAAGGAGATCATGATTGCTTATGATAAACGTCAGCCAGCTTTCGATGTTCTTACCACCAGAGGCAGGGTAACAGAATCAATATTCCTGGGATAGGGAGTCCACAACCCGAATCCACCTCTACTTTCTTTCTTGCTACAACCGCTACCCTTGAACTCACTCAAGCTTTTCACCCACTCTACTTTAGAAGAATGTTCCTGGGTATGCGGGTGCAGTACAAAAAGTGAGTAGTACTCGCAATTTCGAAACATAAAGAACTTAAACAACCCCTTTAACCTGTATACAACGTAGCCAAAGCTCAACTGGTCTCTAGGTGTGAAGAGATTGACCTCATTGAACCACAAGCAATTAAACAAATTATTCAATGCGGTATGTTCCCTTATAATTATGGCTCCCTCAGGCACATCTGCATTTGGTTTTTGTGTTAGTACCAAGAAACATAAATTGCATCAATAGAAGAGGAAAAAAAAAGAATGTTATCCTTTATGAACTCATTGGAAGGTCATGCACTTTACTACGTAAGGCAACCCTTCCATAATTCATAGAAGAACACCATGTCTCCCTTCATACCGCTAAACGTATTTTTCTTCAAACTCCATGTATCCATTCCCTCAGAGTAATATATCTTCATGTGCAGATCAATAAGAGGTCTGGCATATCGCTTCCTCCGCTTGTTTGCATCAGCCTCCTCATATATACTCCTATGATGTTTGTGCTGAGCAATAGCATAGGTATGCTTATCACGCCATAGGTATCTGCTAATAGAAAATATTCATATAATCCAACAGTCTCTGCATCAAGATAATTCAAACATTCTATAGCAAGAAAAAATTTAAAGCAATAAGCTACATAGTTCATCATAGTTCAATAAGATGATGATATCTTTGGAGGTTGTCTTTCCTCTCATTAGTCAACAAGGAAAATAATGGAAAAAGCAAAGTTGTTAACTATTTAATCAGACATGAAAATACCTTCCAGGGATGAGCAATGGATCAACTATCAGATCCATTTTTCCATCAATCCAAATGCTGTACTGCGCTTGAGGGAATAAACCTGTGGGTTAAAATTTTGGGAACCTTCCCATTCCTTCTGGGTTCATCATAAGGTGGATGCTTCAATGGGACAAGACGCCATATGCCTACCCACATCCCCTTACCTTTATCCTTCCTCACGGTCACATTACTTTTAATAAATTTGAGAGATATTTCATCGACAATCATCAGAAAACAGAAGAGCTGCTTAGAACGAGTACTTATATTTGATGGCTGATAAGGCACATCATATCCATCAAAAATCCCAGATGCAACCACAAACCTACATTTCTTGACATATTCGATGTCCACGGGATTCATGTCAGCACCACCATTTTGCAGAAATCCACAGTGCACCTAAACGGATTTTTTTTACATGATAAACCACTTGATTCAATTTCCAGCCATCTAACAGAGGTAAGGAGGGGGCAGATGCAAGAATGAGGAAATTTTCATCCCCGTCGTATATGGAACGTAAAAAATTAATTGGGTGGTGGTGGGATGCTTATCCCTGGACCTAGACCAGATGCTGCCCAAGTTATCTACCCATATGAATAAGACAAGGGGATAAAAGCAATAAAATAAGTTTTACCTTCATAATTGGCTTCAATTTAAAACTCTCTTCTCTCTGAAGCCAGCTTTGGTTACCTCCAAATACGGCGAAGGAATGAGATCCATTGCTAACTAAATCCTCCTCATCAATATAAGTTAGATCTTTAACAATTAAATCCGGTGTCCTTCCGTCTGGAATAACTATTTTGTCAGGGTCACCAACTACTGGAATTGGACAACCTATTAGATTAATTTACAATCAATATTACTCATTAAAATGGAGTGATCAGCATTTTGATAAACAAGAGTGTGCATGAACTTTACGATGTTCTGGTTTCGGAGCCAATCCAAGCAAGTCCATTGCAATGAATACCTTGCTCTCTTTGTTACACATGGCTGCATATGAAGGGAACAACACATCGTCTCATACCAATAAGAAAACACAAATACAATTTGCAGGCCAAAAATTTAGGTTGCTTGGGACATTTTCACTAGTTATGAAATATGAATGTAACCTTGATAAATGATAAATCCTGACTAAATCAAGAATTAGCAGAGCACATTAAAAAGGAAGCCAAAGCAAATTCTGGATTGTATAAAAACCTCCCTGAGACAGAAAAGAATCAAACCAATCTTTTTATCCCAAGTATTTATCTGATAATTAGTTAACAAATATAAAAGATGTCACTACATCAAACAAACTAACAGCATTCATTAAGTAATGTAATTACGCTGCAGTTCAACGTTGAAACACAAATTTCAGTCAAATTTACAATGACCCGTCCCCGGAGCAAAAGTTAGTACACTAGATCAGTATCTGTTCAAATTTTCGATCAAAATAGCAGAAAAGCAAAATGAACTATATTCATTATCCTAACTCATATTTCTGTAGAAACTAACAGAGTTTGACTATTTAAATCCGAACAAGATATAGTTACGAACAATCGAAAGTAGAGACAGATCAAATAAAAAAATATGAACCGTACCTGACAAGAAAGAAATCGAAGATTGGCAAGACCAAACATGAAACAATAACACAATAAGAATAAGTAACATCCATAGAATGCCTACGACAAGAACCAATCGAATAAACCCCTGTTTCCACACAGTCTTGATTGCACTATCTTGCGGCAACCTCATTGAAGAAAACAAGCCACTTTCATCATCTGCATCGAGACAATCCAAAACCCTAAAAAATTGCATCTTATTAAGTGATACCGAAATCCAAAATCCATGAAATGAAGCAGGTAGCAGATACAAATTACCCTTTTAAAAACTAGAGATATACAAACATACAACATAAACCAATGCAATAATCATGACCCAAGTTTTCACGAAAGCTTTATAGATTTTGCTTACCTTTAGAAAATGGGCGTTGATTATTACGCTCCCTCTGGCTTAACCGATATGAAAGAGGGGATTGGAGCTTAGTATCCATTAGTACTCACTTTCACCTCATCAATAAAAATAACTTCAAAAATGTCTACAAAAATCATCAAAATCAAAACGGGAAAGTTATTAATAGACCATACTAGTTAGATCTACACAAAACTTGAAACTTTGACACATAAAATGAATCCAACAAAAAGAAAAGAGAAAGTTTTGTGAGTGGCAAAAATAAACGACAGAAAAATAGTAATACCTAGCAATATCCACGAAATTTATACAGAAAAAATTTAGGTAAAACAGAAGGGTTGTTGATTGAGACTCAAATCTGGGAAAAACTAAAAGAGAATAAAAATTCCGAGTACCGCTGTTTAATGTTTCATGAACATTGGGTATTTGAACGAAACAGATGTAACGGCACCGTTTCATGACCTCAAGCAAAAAGGAGAAAGACAGCAAAAAGTCACGAGAGGAAAGAAGAGTGAAGCGACATCGTATTGGGTTTTGGGAGGACTTAACACTAACCCATGCAAGGCAGTACATGAAGGGGTGGTTGGATTAGGTTTTCAGCCAACCGGACTCGATTCAGAAATTTAATACTCTTGAAACTTGAACCGATCCGATTAAGTAATTTCATTTTACCCAAAATTTAATCTGACTTTTGAGGTATAATTGGACTTCGATCTGAAATAATATAAAATTATTAATTTTATTCATAAAATATGGACTTAATTGAAAAAATAAAATAAAAAAAAATATTATTACAATTATCTTTAAATATATAAGGTATACTTATATTATTTTTTTAGGTCGATCATATCAGGTATTTTTTATCCTGAATCTGACCCGAACCTATTCTCTAAAAAACCGATCTAAATCCAAACTTTTTCCAAAAACTCGACTTAATCAAATTGGATTAGGTCGAATTTAGATTTCGTGTCCATCCTAGGTACAGTAGACTTGTTTGATATTTGAAATAATATGAATAAAAATATTAATTGGATTTAGAAGAAAAAAATTA